CACATTCGAGTGCTGCGGAAACACGCTTCGACGCTCAGTGGGTAAATCGTCAATCAATCGAATGTACCTGTGTATTCTGTCTCAATTTTGACCAATCAGAAACAGCTTGATACCCGTCGTGCAATTTCCAAACACAATACAACACTAAAGAGTGACGCCTAGAAAATTTGATTATCAAAAACTGGAGGTTTCACCCATTGACACGAAGGCGCGAAAAGAAAGATTTGAACGCGAAACAAAAAAAATAGAAAATAAATGGTGGCAAAACATGCACAGGGAAGATTTAAAAAATATGAATAAAAGTACACAAAAATCGGGGTCTGTGTTACAATTTGAATTTGCCGCCATGAGCACAAGCCCCCGACAAAGACGTGAGCTCACCCAAGCAATCAAGATGGACGTCGTGTTCGCCCTACAAGACGCCATCCAAGAGGGTAAGCTCCGTCGCGGGGCGAAACAAGACACTGCAGCTCGGTTCGACATTGGGCGTGCCACGATTCGCAAGATATGGCATGATTTCAAGAGAGGAACAAAGTCCTCCAAGAAGAAAGTACGTGTCGGCCCGAAGCCACGATGCACTCCCTCTGAGATCAGGGAGATGATCCAAGCCGTGCCAGAACAAGACCGCAGTACTTTCCGCGACATGGCTAATACGACAGGAATCTCTAAAAGCATCCTCGCACGGCACTTCAAAGCTGGAACAATTGAGCGACGGTCCACCCGACTCAAGCCGTTCCTTACCAAGGACAACAGGCTCAAACGCCTAGCGTACTGTGGTGCACATGTAAAAATGAACTTGGAGTCTCTGACGCATCTGAACCCTTGCTTGACGAGCAGCGTCGGCGAAGTCGACGCTATCTCCGAAGACGCCCCGGTCTCTGAGGTCGGCACACCACAAGAATTCGAGTTTTCCGATTTGTTCGACGTGGTCCACCTTGACGTGAAGTGGTTCAATGAGGACAAGGACAAAAGAAAAACCTACGTGGTCCCTAGTCAAGATCCTGCGCGTTGTGTGTGCAAGTCCAAGCCCTTTGTCCCAAAGGTTATGTTCTTGGCGGGAGTCGCACGTCCAAGGCCCGAGGAAGGCTTCGATGGCAAGATCGGTCTTTGGCCCTTTGCCACCCAGTCGCCACACTCCGTAACTCACAGAATAGACCTGCAGGAACCATGGTGATGACATTGGTGAATGTTGATGGAGCGACCTACCGGGACTTCGTGCTCCACCAAGTTGTGCCTGCAATCAAGAGTCGATTTCCAAGCAAGACCAAGCGCGTCATTTTGCAACACGACAATGCAACTCCGCATGCGACTATCGATGACGGAGTCCTGGCTGAGGTGTCCACGGATAATTGGGTCTTTATGGTGCGTCGGCAGCCGCCGAACAGCCCGGACCTCAATGTCCTGGACCTGGGCTATTTTGCTTCAATCCAAGCCCTACAGTACAAGACTTTCAGCCGGTCTGTCGATGACGTGATCGGCTCGACGTTGTGTGCCTTTGAAGCGCTCAGTGTTGAGACGTTGGGTAACGTCTTCCTAATCTTGCAAGCAGCTATGCGTCAGGTTTTGGAGCATGAGGGCAACAACGATTTCAAGATTCCTCATATGAAGAAAGATACTTTGAGACGTTGTGGATCACTCATGGCGAACTTCACATGACCTGTTTCGCTTCTTCTCCTGGCGAACTCGGTACTTCAGCAATCCAATCCGTGGGTTAATAGCTGTATAGCCAATGAAATTCATCCATGTTTTTTCGAGCCAATCAGAATAAATGGTCATAGTGATATGGGAAATAATTGCCATGGTCAT